GCCTACCTGGGCGCCTTCTCCTCCTCGGGCTGCGCTGAACCACCGCCCCGGGTCCTGCTGCCCAGGAGTTACGGAAAATTCCGTCGTGCCTCGTGGACAAGGGGGAATGGCTTTAAACTGAAAGGGAGTAGATTTAGATTAAATACTAGGAAGAAAGTCTTTACTTTGAGGGTGGTGAGGCACTGGAACAGGCTGCCCAGAGAAGCTGTGTCTGTTCCATCCCTGCAGATGTTCCAGGCCAGGCTGGATTGGAGCTCAGAGCAACGTGGCCTAATGAAAGGTGTCCATGGCAGCGAGATTGGAGCTAGATGGTCTTTAAGGTCCCCTCCAACCCAAACCATTCTATGATTCTGTGATTTCTGTGGCTCTCTGAATTGCAGTGGCTGGGGAGGGAAAGTGTGCAACTTCTACCCAAAGTAGGGCAGATCCAAAGTGACCAGGGAGCCTCTGCTGCTGCTTGCACTGGGCCAGGAGAGGACAAGTGCTGTACACAGGTGTTGTGTGGAGAATGACAGCATGCACACTGCACACACCTCCTTCAGCCACACTTAAAAGAATGGATCATCACCATGCGTCCAAGTGGCTGCAGAGCTCTCCTCAAAGCTTGTTCCTTGGGCTCCCCATAATACTGCTAATGCTTTCTTCTACCTTGTTAGTAGCAGGAAGGCTGCTCATCCTCTGCTGCTCATCCAACAGGTAGGAAATCAGATGGGTTTTCCTGCATCTGAGTGATGTATGATTTTGTGTCCTAGAGCAGAAACTGCAAAAGTTTTTTTTTGTGAATGTTAAAGGGGAAAAGGAGCTGAATTAAAAATAGAAATGTCTGTTTCAGGATTTCAGAAGCCTTTTGTTTACTTCCTGCATAGCAGCACCTTGCTCAACTGCAAGCATTTCTTCCACTGGGCAATTCTTGCCACATATGTGCAGCACATGAACCTGCACATTGCCACAGAATGTATTTGTCAAAGACATTCTTGGAGTACCATCTCACAAATATCCAAAACAGCCTTCTATGTAGATCAGGTGACCAGTGATAACATTGAGACTTAGCTTTCCTACAAGGAAGTAGCAGCTCTGCTACTTGAACAAAGCTCTATTTCATTACACAGAGTTGATAGTTTGATTGCTGAAGTTACAAATACATAGCGGATGTTCTGAACTCTGATTTTTGGATGGGGATCCTGAAGTTCCTGATGTCATCGCATCTGACTCATGCAGAGGGACTATAACAATCAAATTATGTATAAACTGCATTATTTAAAACATTTTATTATTTAATGGCTCATATTTCATGTATCACTTGCACATTATCATCAGGCAGTTATGCCAACTTCTTTTCATGCTTTCCTTGGAGCCCTTAGCACATTTTTTTTCCTTAAGCACAATGGTCTAAACAAACTTCCAAGTTGAAAACAGGAGTAGCCCAGATTAGAAAGCCAATCTTTATTCGTGTAAAGACAAGTATTTTGAGAAATCATGAAGAAATTGTCTTGAGAAAACATGTATTTTGAAGTAATGGTTACCTAAGTAGAAGAAACTACCCAAGCTGCCACCAGATCTCCAGGTTAGCTTCCAGAATTGTTCCAGGATGCTCTTAAGTCTATTCAATAACAAATTGTGCACAATATTCAGATTCTAAAGTACTCAACTGGAAACAGACAACTGCCTAAACTTAGGTTGTTTCCCTTACTTGAAACTGTATGGGTAAAAACTGCGAATTACAGCACGTTGCTGTGTGAACACAATTCAGTTCCAGTCACTAAAATCATCCTAGTTGCTCAGGAGTTAATGCACAGATGTAAGCTAAACTGACCAGTGACACCAGACACTGAGTAGGAGGAGGAATGACAGGCTGGCTGAACTCCTCAGGCTGAGCAGCTGCCAGCATCAGGAAGGGACCCTTCAGGTCTCAGGATATCTAAAAAGCCAGGCTCAGGGGGTTTTTGTAGTGGTGCCGTCCTGAGGTGCTTGCTGCCTCCAGCGTAGCATCCTGCCTGGCACAGGAGCACCCAACCACAGCAAACCCAGCAAGACTCCAGGAGGAGAGTGTGCTGGAAGAAATAAACCTGAGGTGATAACAGGTGATTGGAGAGAGTCTTGCATCATCAAGGAAAAGTTCCGCAACCTGCAGGTCTGAGTGCAGTCACACAAGAATGAGCCTTGGGAGGCTTCATATGAAAGCAGATTTCTGTCTCTGGGAGATAGTAACTGAGAGGGAGCTCAGAAGGACCGTCCTCTTGATGTAAAAGCAGAGCTTACCGTAGAAACAGTATTGCTTCACTGCCAGACAGCAATCCTACCAGGACGACACTAGGACCAACAGGACACAGGAATGAACCACCCAAAAGACCAGTTCCATGACAAGCCTTAGCCATCTCTTAGCAGTTTTTTACAGGAGGAGGACAGCTGTTAGTACTTGACTTGTAGTTACTGCAGCAGCAAAAATACCAGATTGCTGCAAGTCTCCCAATCAGTCTGTTGTTCTGTCAATTGATTTTAAAAGATGAGTAATAAAATTATTTTATATTCCACATTAGAGAAATGCTGTTGCACAGAAGCAAGCATATGAAGTCCCTGCAAGACCCTGCCAGAGTGTAGATAAGCTCTAAGTTACTTCTTGAACACATTGCACAGTAAAAGGATAAAGTGAATGCCTGTGGTAGCCAAATTCCCTTCAATTATCACATTATATATCTCATTCTGCAACTACAGCCATGGGGACATTAAAAAGAAATATTCACTGTACTGTTCATAAAACAAGTAAATGGGTCTTAAGTGTCTTGAAATTGGCCATTCCTACCATAATGTATTATCACTAAATCAGCTGTCCTCCATTTTTTTATTTTTTTTAAAGCAACCCTGCTGCAGCTGGTGGCAGCAGCTGCCTCCTGGCCCCTCCTAGCACTGGTGAGCCCCTGTTTTGGCAGCTGATGGGCAGAATCAAGCTAGCCTTAATAGGAGATACATTTTTGTGCATTGCACATTTTCACCACTCTTCCTTTCTCCTTCTGAGCTGGTCTTTGCAAACAGAACAGTGAATATCAGCATGAGTGGAACACCCACTGGCCTGCAGAGGAACACCCTCTGCACTTCCAATGAGGAGCATGGAACATGCCCAAGCCTACAAGCCCATCCCTTTGCACTGGGGAGTGGGAACCACGACCATGGAGGCTGATGATTAGACACCTCTCTGTACTTGGACTGCTGCCATCTCCACAGACAAGTGGAGAAAAAGCCCTAAAGCAAACATGCCAGAGCAGGAATCAGCCTGACAGCTGGCAGAGATACATGAACCCGTCTTCAAACCATTTCAGCTTTGTAAACAATGGGCAAAGTTCAGAGTGGAGAAATAAACAAATAGCAGTCCTGGTTCAACTTTTTACCTGTGTAGCTGCTTACTCAGGTAAGAAGTTGAACCAGGACTGCTTAACCCACAGCCTGCTCTTCTGTCAAACAGGTCCAGCTGGCTGCAATTATTTCTTCCCCGCCTGCTCTTGGGATGCCTTTGGTGTGTCCCATGGCATCAAGGTCACCTCAGCAGTTGGCTGCATCAGAGGAGTCCATAGACAGCTCCCAATCCACTTGCATATCCTTGCCTATGTCCAACAATGCAGCCAGAAGTTCTCACCTTAACAACCTTCAGGAGCAGGGCTGCTTTCTCTTAAGATAGAGGAATGTCTCCACAGATGAGATCTGCGTAGTGTGCCATGGGAAAGTACCATGCAGAGTGCATTCATCACTGATCCAATGCATGGTGCTCAGCATCAGAAGGGACAGATTCCTCTTTTTATTCCATCTAACTAAAATGGCTATTTTATTAAGCTGGTTTTTGTTGGACCTTTCTTGACATGATGGAGAAAGAGCTCTGTACCATCTTCCTCTCTCATGCACTTCACTCCTCCCTGGGGCAAAATGCTCACTTAATTACAGAATCAATTGTGTTCCACAAGAAGCTGCTGATACTGGGGAGTGAGTGGGAAAGAAGGAGGGTGGAGGGCTGATCCTAGGCAGCAGTGAAGCCCCCACTGCCGCTTGGTCACTCACTCCTTCCTACAGGATGAGGAAGAGAATCAGCAGGGTGAAGCCATGGGAAAAATACCTATGGGTTGACACAAAAGTCTTGTAGTGAATAAAAAGAACATAACTAAGTGATGCAAAGTCAACCACTGACCACC